CAGCCTGCAGGCCATCGCCAGCAACGTCTCTTGGACTAGAGCACACCCACAGCTTCTCCAGCGCAGACGCCCAGCAGGACCCTTCTCATCTCCACACGTGCCTTCAAAGACTATTTTTGGCAACACTGCATCTCTGCCAAGGCCACCACCCAGGGTCCTCCTGCCCTTGAATCCCTGTGACAGCTAGAATTAAGAGGACGTATTTATCAGTATCATCTTTACATAAAGCTGCAAATGCTTTAACACCAAAGCACGTCGGTCTGACCGGACAGCCCGACATTTCCAGCAGGACGAGCCCAGGAAAGCGTTAAGAAAACACAGGCGGGAGGTCATTTTAGTGGAGTCACTCCTTTAATTTAAACCTGTGACTGTCATTTTATGCTTGACTAAGAAAAGTATTAATTAAAAATACATTTTCATTTGGATTGTTTAAAAATCTCTTAATAAACGTGACAGTATTTTAAAGCTGCTCTGAAAACAGGTGGAAATGTCCTCAGAAAAGAGCAGCCGGGCGTGGCTCTCTCACTAAAGTGCTTGCTGCTTCCACTCGAAGACAGTGATTTACTTCCTGGTGCACTGAAGTAGCATTCCTGTGGAACGAACCACGTGCGGAACACACGCCGTCCGTCTACACGAGGGTGCCCTCCCGGCTGCGGCCAGGGCTGCGCCCGCAGTTGGTGGTTTCCCGGCTCCTACGGGGCCTCCTGCAGGAGCAGACGCAGCCTCCTGCGCTCGTCCCCCGCCGGGGTGGCCCACTCCCTCCTCAGGTACTGGACGTCCACGCTGCCGGAGGCTCTGGCCAGCACCAGGGCCAGGAAGCTGCCACGGGTCTTCTCGGCTTCCCCCACGACAGTCATGGCCACCAGCCTGGAACCAAGAAGCACACGTGTGACCCTGACTCACCCTATCACCCGCGTCCCGGGGAAGGAAGAGGAAGGCTGCAGCGTCTGTCATCATCAGAATGGAAATCAGACCCGAGGCAGACGGACTCAATCTACAGAAACCACACTGAAACGTGTCTCTGCAGCCAGAGACTGTGGGACTGACGTCTGTGATGGTCACTGCTAAGCACCAGGGACGTGCGGCCTTGAGATGGGGAGCCCACAGACCTGCACCCCTCGCCCAGACCTCACCCTGAGCTCCAGATCTGCCGTCCAGCCAAGGAACCGCACGTGGGGCCGCTGTACCATGGGCACCTTCGCCGACCCCGTTTCTCCGAGCAGGCCCGCTTCCCCGCCATGTCCCCTCCATGGCCACCCCATACCCCCGT